CCTCCCTCCCTCCCTCCCTTCCCTTCCCTTCCTCCCTCCATTCCTCCATCCATTCCTTCTCTCTCTTTCCCTCCCTCCTTTCCTTCCTTCTCTCTCTCACTCCCTCCCTCCCTTCCTTTCTTCCTTCCTTTCTTTCTGTCTCCCCCACTCCCCGTTTTAAGCAAGCTGGCTGAGAACTCTGTGTCCTCCACTTCAAAGGGCCAGTTGTCTTATTTTGATGTGGGCAGATTGAAAAGTAGGCTTTGAAAAGTAGGCGCTTTTTTTGTTTAATCTTTTCTCCTGGGATAGCTTTCAGAGCAATATATCCAAGTGTCAGTGAGGGGGTTCTGACGAGCACGGATTCCCAGACTCTCAGCAGGATCATTCTCTAACAGAAATATAAAAGTGAAATATTAAAAACCCTGGAACGTGAACTCCATCTGCAGAGTACCCAGTATCTTGCCTGCTTGCACCATGGGAAAAAAAAAAATCTTGAAAAAAGAGGGAGGAGAAAAAAAGTGTTTTGAGTTAGAGGTTTACAGGTTTAGTAGAGCATAGTAACATCCCCTCAAAGAAGTGGGTGTTGCTCTGTGACCCCCCAAAACGCTCCTCCTTTGACTCAGCCGCCAGAACACTCACCCTCCTCCAGCAGTACACCCCCTTTTCACATGCTAACTGAGGGGCCCGTGATTGGCTGAACAATAAACTGGTCACACTTGCTAAAGGGCTGCCGTCTTTCACACAATTAACCAAGACACATTAATCAAGCTGGCTGGACGGGGCTGCGCAGGCCTCCTGCAGTGGGGGAGGGGAGAGTTTGGTGAGCCTTAATAATACTCCGCAGGAAGCAATAGTAAAGAACCACAAGCTGGAGGAGATTCTGCTCTCAGAAAGTTGGAAGAGTTTAAAGCCCCAGTGGATGCCGTAGCTAGAATGGACAGGAGTTGTGGCGCTGAAGATCCCAGAAACTTAGAGCAAATTGAATGCTGGTCTTAGCTAAAATCTGCTAGTAGAAGACAGTACTGTGCATTCAAATGGCGACCCCCTAGAGACATTTTTACAAAGTTCCTTTAGCCTTCTTAGCTCTCCCTACCACTCCCACGAAAATGCACTCAGGAGCCACTTCCCTATGGAGACACAAGCACTGAGCAGTGGCTATGCCAAACCATACAGTGTAGGTTTCACTATGAGAACCAATAGAAATGAAGAATATACAAGAAGCATTCTGAATGAGATTTCCATTCCTTCCCAGTTCATTCAAAGTAGTCATAAGCACCCCTAAGCTTTCAATTCAACCAGTACAATTTGAGGGAGCCCAGCTGGGAGCCCAGTCGAGGGTTCTCTCAATTTAGAATCAATTAAGAGAAAGTAGTAACTGGAAAGGTATTGGTCCTAAACTAAGTATCTGAAGGGTATTAAAAATAGTTAATTTTGAGAGAGAAAAAGTTAGCATTTGTATTTTTAATAATATTTTCTGATTTTTCTTTTTCAAATTCCCTTTAAATAGATGTTCCAATGGCAATGCAGAGCTGATAAGATCATACCTTAGAGACCAGTTTGCTACAGAATCGTGTAGGGCTTTTAAGAGAATCAACTAAATATTTAGACATTTCTCAACTAAAGTAAACGGAGGCCTTACTCCTCTGGAGGTTGTCCAGTCACCATCTCATTAGATGCAAAGATCCTGCGATAAAGAGAAACTTTTCTTCCTGCCTACATGATTGCAGCCCAGTTGTGGTTTTTAATGTGTCATTGATTGTTTCATCCAACTCCTTTTGCTTCACTGAAAGGGTCTGTCATAGCTCTGTTTGCTTCCTTAAACACGGTTTTTGAAAGCGCTCA